CTCCGAGAAGAGATGAGGACACTCTTCTGTGCCCTCGCCAGAAGCGTTGCCGGCCTATAATGAGCGTGTTGTTTTATAAACTTTCAGTAATCTACCTCTTGATGGGCTAAATATGTTTCCAAATCTAATTTAATCTTTCTCGCTTCTAATGTGATTTCAATGAAAGCTTATTTCCCATGCAATTATAGTGCAGTCTCAGCTTCTGTGCACTTCATTTATGTAAATTCAGCTGTATGTGCATGGCAGATAAAGACAGGACCCTTTAAACAGTGCAGAGGATCCTGTCCCTGTTCCACACAATGAGCACATGACCCAGAATGAGACAAACGAGTGAATTCTGCTTCCATAAGAAACTGGTCTTTTCGTGTACCTCTCGCAGAGTGAAGACCACCTACCTAAGTGAGCTCCCAATGCTTAGCAATATGGAATTTACACAACACGGCCCCTAAGGATGAGTTTCCAACTTACTTATTGTTCAACCAAAGAATTATTTCCTACAAGTGGTGAGGAAAGTTTTGTTTTATTGGGGTTTTTCTATTTATTTAAGAAATATCTAATGAGAAATTGGTGGCATAGTGGTTGGGGTGCTATATGCAAGGTTGGCAGAATCTGTCTACTCTGCTAAACACCTACATCTCTGAAACTCAAAGGAGCAGCTCGCCCCTGTCCTATGTCCTATTTACTGATGTCAGCATCGGCCTGGTGAGAATGAGTTGAGACTGCATGTGTGTGGATCTTGACACTGGGAATAACTGCGGGAATACAATGCACTATTAGAAGCACTTGTTACGTTACGGAGCGTCTGGCTTAGTTAAGGAGATACACAAAGTGGTCTTTCTCAGGAATATTCAAGGTGAATATTAGTTGGGTGTATTTGATACTTGGGTTCTGGTTTTTAAAATTAAGCTCTTTCTCCTCACCACAAGGATTCTTCCACGGGAAACAATTACCCCTATGTGGTATGTTTACTTACTCATTTTTTCTGATAATATATGAAAATGCAGATTTATAGTCTTTTTTCAGAACTATAAAAGCATTTTGTAATATGTCTTATTGCTTTGAAATATGGGGTTTGGGCATCAGAGACCCAGGTGTTGGCCAACATGTGACCCATACTACTTCTGTGACTTGAGCATCCATTCTGTCCTCTCATTTGTTTAAAAAACAAACAAACAAAAACAGCAGCAGCAACAACAATAACAACAGCAGCAGGAAGGCATTCAACTGTGTGATCCCTATGGCTCTGTCTATTTCTCTGCAATATTTTTACTTGGATGATTAAGAATTATTTCCTAGTTGTTTAACAATATTATATAAAATTCCTCCAAAAGCATGTGGAATAAGACATGCTTTATTTCATTGGAAATAAAAACACTTAAAGATACATAAATCGCTTGCTATCCTTTTGGGGGTCCTCGTGGTTCAGTGGTAGAATTCTCTGCCTCTGTGCAGGAGGTCTGTGTTTGTTTCCTGTCCGAAGCGCTGCATGGGTAGACTCTCCTCATTTGTCACTGGTCATGTGGGTTGTCAGTTGGATGGGCTAGAAAACATGAACTCTACTTAGAAAAATGAGGCAATGACAACCCTGAATCAGCACTACCTAATCTGTATCTCAATATAGTGAGTATACGGCACCAGATAGTGTTTTGTTCCATTTTGTGTGAGTTGAGGTCCAACTTAGTGGCACGCCTAACAGCAATTATCCTTTGGATTTTGTCCAAAGGGAAGATTCGTAGTAGCTCTAATATAACCCATTGGAAACAGTTGCTGGAATGATTTTTTTTACTGTTTTTAATATGGGTAATCTAATTTTTAAGTACTTTGACATCTTTTTGGGGGTTTTCTTAGGAACTATTTTTTCTAAATGTTATGTATTATGTTATACATTGCTACACTTTAAAATCAAGCGAAATTATATAATGAGTACCTGTATGCCTACTACCCTGCATAAGCATATCCTAACACTTCACAGTACCTGTTTCCAAATTACTTAAGCCATAAAACATTGCTGACATATGAAGCCTCCTGTGGGGAAAAATGTGTTTTTGCAATAACGCTCCCTTTTCTATTTTTAAATGTGTTATATATGCTCGTTGAGGAAAAACATTGGTATGTGAAAAAGGTTAAATACATATAATCCTAACACCCAGAGGTGCTTTAAACATTTTCCCAAATTTCCTTTGTTTTATAGCTAATCTATGCATTTGAATCTGGAAAAGAGATCTTTTCAATCTAAATTTACTTGGAAAAACACGAAGCTCCGTGTTAAGACAGTGAGAGCAGCATAGTAAAGCCCTACGTGCACATCAGCCAACTTCAAGAGTTGCTGGTCCCTGCCTCCGGCTTGTTTAGTACTCCTCCCAATGATTGTGGGAGAAAAGGTCCCCACATAGTAAAATGTCTTACTTAAGTGTTTCACTATTCATCTCTAAAGGGCAATGCCCTTTTATAAACATCCCAATGCCATTTTATTACAAAGATGTTACTAACTCTTTGTATGAAGAGGGGTTTGAAAAATTCATGGAAAAGGAAATGAAAAAATGATGGCATTTCCCCCACACTTTTTGAACTCCCCTCCTATCATCAAATGCCCACTTTACTAATTATTGGTTCTAAATTTTTTCTTATTAATTCAAATCCAAAAAAGTTCCAGCCATTAAAATGGACTTTCAATCCAGATATTTCCTGTTACTCTTTATGATTTTCCTTGTAATTTATTTGCTAAAGAAAATGGGCTCATTTGCCACATGGACAGGCCCACAGACTAACTGGTGCGGATTGCATCCTGTAACGTGATGTTTACCAGATTGCTCAGTCCCCTGCAGTTCTGGTAAGCATGAATTTGTAGCTACCAGCTTGATTGGATTCAGGCTCAATGTTTCTAGCTAGACAATTACATAGGTAGAGCTGTACTCTTCTGTTGTCTTTCATTTTCAATGCAACAGTTTGCATAATCTTTGTCTATATCCAGATTTCCTAGTGGTGGTGGTGGTCAGTTAACTAGTGGGTCATCTCCTCCTACTCAGGGTGCCCTCATTTGTGCAGAGTAGAATAGCTCCGTAAGCTTTCCAGGGCTGGTTGTCCAACGCACTTCATGGACAGGGACTATTCATTTGTCCCTGGTGCTGTGTTGTCCTAAACAGACCACCAGTTCTGTTTTCCAAGGCACCTCTGGGTGGATCCAAACCACGAATCTTATGCTCAGTTGGGTGCTTAATCATTTCTGTCACTCATTGATAATTGTTGCCTATTATAACTATTTTATTAAGGCTTATAAAATATTGTTGTTCAAGTTTTCTAATTCTTCCTCCATTTTTGGTGGAAATCTATTACAAAGAGATACTTTCCTTTAATCTGTGTTTGTTTACAGGTCATGTAGAAAGGCAATACACTTGGTTGGTTTTCACAATGAGTTGATTCTCTACCATTTTCTACTGGTGACCAGAAAGGCATTCTGTTGTGGTTTTCCCCCATGAGAATAATTATTAATTCATAGACTTAAATGCATCTGAAATGTCTTAAACCTCTGTGGTTCTTATTTTCAAGGATGTTCTAATTTTCCCTTCCTTAATTTGTCTTTCTCTTATTAGAAGTGACACTGACCTCATCGGCCGTTTCCATTTCCTTTTCTTTTTCTCTGTATATCCTTTTCCTGCTTTTCTAGAAGGTTGTTGATTTTTTTGTGAGTGAATTTTTTTTCTTTTCTGTATCTTTAGAAGATCCTTCAGTAATAGGAATTTTTTTTTCAGGCTCATATTGAATTGAACATTGTCTCTTTACAAAATTCCTAAAACAACGTCAGAAGGCAATTTTCAAACAGGGAAAGCATGTCTAAAATGTTTATCATAAACAAAGATGACTTCATGATTCAACAGGAAAGAACATGCAACACAGTAGTTGGAAGCCCAGATTCTAAGCTCAGGATTTTTTACATTACAATTCAATCCCTACTTTCCTATTAGGATCCTTCAAATTCCTTAGATGCAAAGTAGGAATCCTAATAATACAACTTCATTAGCTTATAGAAGGAATTCCTTGGGAAATATATATGTATATATAAGCTCCACATGATGCTGTCACGTGTAAGCTCCTTCCCTTTTAGCCTTTGAGACTCTTCTATATCACCAGTGAACATGATGCCAACAGTTATGTTTTCACTAACAGCTGAGAGATGAGTACTTCAACCACTCTTGAGTTTATCCAAAAGATTCTTTGAATTTACCTGATACATCAGTTGGGTAGAAGATATGTTGCCCGTAAGCCAGCGTTGCTTCTGGTCACCCCAGATAGCAAGGAAATATCACACAGTCTCTTTCAGATATCAATTAGTGAAGGGCATCATGCATGCAGTTATGTCGAAGTGCAGTTATTGTCAGTATTATACAGTGTCTATATTGCATTCTTACTGTGTTAGCCCGGGTTGACTAGAGAAACATATCCAGAAACATTCATATGTGTATAAGAAAGAGCTTTATCTACAAGAGCAATTGAATATTGAGAAACATCCCAGCCCAGTCCAGATCAAGTTCATAATCTGATATTAGCCCGTATGTTTGATAACAATCTATAAATTCCTCTTCAGACTCATGAAACACATGCAATGATGGCAAAAGCAGGAAGATCAGAGCACAGGGGCTGAAAAGTCTTATGGATCCAGTGACAGTATAAGCATCTCAGCGCTGACAGGGGTCTCCACGTGGTTCCTTCAGCTCCAGGCCACGAGAGTAGCTCCATGTGTCTTGTCCATAAGCATGTCTCCCAGGGAGTGAAGCATGTGTCCCGCCTCTAGCGAGCTATTTATCTCCTTAGTGCCTCCAAATGAGGCCATCAAGCTGTGACCTGATTGACAAGCTAGATTCCACCCCTTCACTCTTAAGTCTCAAATTTACAACAGATTATGTAACTACCAGACTTACCTATTAGTAAACCATGGAACATAAAGTGCTATGATGCATGTTCTAAAAGACTTGGTCTGGTATGTGAGACAAGAATACATGATCATAATTACCTAGCAGGGGAAATACCGTGATCACAGAGGTGGTTTTCTCAGCATGAGGCTTATCTATATTGCACTCAGGATATGCTGACGCCTGTGATATCCCCACAGTGAGAAACTCGATTGCATAATTTGTGGTAGTGGGGGACTGCATTGGCACCCTGCCCTGCAGTTTAAAAAAAATAGAATACATGATCAGATAAATGACCATTTTTCATTCTCATAATGGATAATTTAGTTACTATTATGTCCATTTTATAAGTAGTAAATTAAGAGCAAATTTGGAACCATTGCCAGAATTGAAGTTGAAGGCCCTGGTAGATTTACTAGGAGGCTTGGTGGCATACTCAGTTCATATTGGACTGATAACTGCAAGGTCAGCAATTGAAAACCACCATTGGCTCCATGGGAGATACATAAGGCTTTCTACCCCCGTGGAGTTACAGTCATGGAAACCCACAGGGGCAGTTCTGCCCTTCCCTATAGGGTCATTATTGAACTGATTCCTTGGCAGTGAGTATAAAGTTTGGCGGTAGTTACTCAGGACCCCTGATGGTACAGTGGTTCAGTACTTGACTGCTCCTTGATAGATCAGCAGGTGAAACCCACCAGCGTCACTGCAGGAGGAAAGGCCTATAGATCTCCTTCCCTCAAGCTTGGAAGCTTGCCAACCCTGTAAGGAAAGTTGTATGTGGGGCACGTTTGACCCAAAAGGATAACGATGTCAGCACTCAATGACTGTCAATTAAAAAAGATGTTACTGTGCAAATGTAAGACCCACCACTCTGAACTACATATTTCTAGTTCTTAAGAGATGTGATGCCCTACTCGGGTAAGTCTTTACTCGTTTTTTTAAATGTTTATTTCTTTCTATAGCAGGTAAACTGACATGTTTTGCTTTAGAGGAAAATAACAAACAGTAGAGTAAAATTAACAATCTCAACCAGCATTTAATGTTAGGAACAGAAAATACATGCATACTTACTGGTTTCTGTACACTATTCTAAACACTTTAAAGTTAATCTATTTATTTCTCAAAAAGCCCCTTGGAGGTAGGTGTCATTATTATTATTATTATTATTATTATTATTTTATATATACAGATGAGACAGTGACAAAGACTGCAGCTTACTTAAGGGCACAGGTAATGGGTAGCTCAGCCAGAAAACATACCCATAAGAGGATGTAATACTCTGAAATAGTATTGCTTTTTTAATTTTATGCTATCAAGCCATAGAGTGCTCATTGGTAGCCCCCATAACAGTACATTTTCCCATGAACGGTCTTCTCTGTATCATCATAGCATCATGACTAGCACCCATGGGGCACCCAGAATAGGAGATCAGAGGGTCATATTCTAGATCATCTTCTGTTATCTCTAATGGCAGTAAAGCTAATCTATTCTTTTGTTGTATTGAGCATTTCATCAGTTCCCTAGAGAATTCATTTAAAAAACTTCCACAAACCGGGTGATTTCAAACAACACACTTATTCTTTTGTGAGTCTTGAAGTCTGAAGTCCAAACCCTAGGCAATCAATAGGGTTGGCTCCTGCTAAGGCTCTGATTGGATCATCTGTTCACACCTTACACAAGTGTCGCCATCTGTCCTTGGCATTGCTTGGCTTACAGATATGTCATACCAGTCTCTGTCTCCCACTTTACATGGCATTCTCTCTGTGTGTCTGTGTCTCTGTGCCTCTCCTTTTCATAAGGTTAACAGTCATGTCTGATTAGACCCAATAGTATTCCATTACAGCCTCATGCTAACTTAAATAATTACATCTTCAGAGTAGTGTTTTAAAATAAAGTCACTTTTACAGATACTGAGGGTTGGAGTTTAAAATTGTCTTGGGGATGTAAACCAAACATTACCATAAAACCATATAAACAAATGCACTGCCCCTGAGTTGATCCCAACACATAAGACTCCTATAAGACAGTGCCTAACTGCTCCCTATGGTTTCTGAGGCTCAATTGTTATGCGAGCAAACAGAGTCATGTTTTTCCCTGGGAGTGGCTGGTGCCTTTGAGTTGCTCTTCTTGTGGTTAGCAGCCAAATGCCTGACAACAGGCTGCCATGGCTTCCCAAACTGTAATCAAATCTATATATAAAAGAGTGTGTTTCCAAACTGGTCCTTCTTAATTTATTCTCTGGTCAACCTAGCCATGTGAGCTAACTTTCTCTTTGGGCTACCAAGAAAGGAGGAGGTACAGTAAAGTGAGCTATTATCTATGCTTGTAGAAGTACAGAATATCCAACACCTGGGATTGAGGACAGGGAAAATCACATGCTGTCACTGCAAATTTTGTTGGTATGTCTGTGGTATGTTGGTGCACAGGCATGTACAGAAGTGTATGTGGGATTGTGACAGAACAGGTATATAATACAAAGAGCAATGTGTTTACTGAACACTTACTCTTAATCTAAGTTCAGTATCATCAAGTCAGTTCTAACTCAGAGTGACCCTATACAACAGGGTAGAGCTGCCACTGTGGGCTTCTGAGGCTCTAACCCTCACAGGAGTAAAACGCCTCATCTTTCTCCGGTGTTGAACTACTAGCTTCTCCTCGGGATAATGACATGGTCATCTGCTTCCATAAATATTCAAAACCAAACCAAAACCCATTGTCAACTAACCCATTATAATTCATAAGCTATGTTCTTATGCAGTTCTATTCTATGTTGTATGTTTGTTATGAATAGGAGTCAATTGCAAGAGGCTCCTGCTATGCACGCTCAATTTGAAGGGAACAGTCTCTCGAGCACTGCTATTACCACCTACAAATTTCCAGTGTCTGATCTAATTCACGACATAAATATGTTGTTGTTGGGTGCATTCGAGTCTGCTCCAACCCACGGGGACCCGCTGAACAATAGCTCACAGCACAGCCTGGTCCTGTGCCAGCCTCACAATTGTTCCTATGAGATAAATGTATGAAGTCCGAAAGATTAGCCCAGGTGCCAATACCTCTTCTTCCGGTGTCTTTTTAAAATGCCATCTTTCAATTCCAGACGCTCACCGGGTCAGCCCATCGATATTCATACATTGCTAAGTGATCAGGTATCTGAAGTCCCAGAATGGTTTCTATAACCCTCAAGATCCAGTGGGACAGGAATTGGTTTGTTTTGTTTTGAATCAGACTAGGACTAAACAGAAGGGAAAACTAAAATCTCACTGTCATCGAGTAGATTCTGACTCATAGTGACTCTATAGGGACAGACTAGAAGTGCCCCTGTGGGTTTCTGAGACTAAATCTTTGGGGAAATAGAAAACGCTATCTTTATCCTGTGGAGTGCCTGCTGGATTCAAAGCTCTAACCTTGCAATTAGCAGCTCACATTGTAACCACCAAGCCACCAGGGTTCTGAAAAAAAATCCATAATCGTTAGCCAGAAAGTAGTGATTTTAGTTACAGTTAATTGCTCGACTCCGAATGTAGGTTAAGAATTATAGACCCAGCATTGTTTCAGTGCTGTCAGCTGCCTGAAAGTGCAATTCATATTCTGTAAGACTCGGGCCGCTGGTGACTCAGTGCTGGTGGCCTGTCTCCCCTGTTCAGGAAGTCACCGCTCTGCTGCATGGTGGCCTCTTTTGTGGCTTCGAAGGCTTGTGCCCACCGCTGTCTTGCTGCTTTCACCCACCTCATAAGAGACTGATCGGGGTCAAATATTACATTCATATGACTGTATATACTCGTGTATAAGGCGAGTTTTTTAGCACATTTTTATGCAAATTTGTGGTAAAATTAGGTGCCTCGGCTGCTATTTGGGTCGGCTTATACTCGAGTCTATACGCTATTAGGAGACTGAATTGCTCACAGATAGGTATGTGGAAACTTGTCTTAACCAGAAATAAAATGGAAGGGGAAAATAAAACCCATGATTCTTAGCATATAAAGCAAAACCAAAACTGTCGCTAAATACTAGATTCTGACTCACCCTGACTCCCTGTAGTAGAGAATAGGGTTTTCTCGGCTGTATCTTTAGATCACAAGGCCTTCTCTTTGTTCTACCAGTGAATTGACGTGAACCACCAACTTTTGGGGTAGTAAGTGTGAACACAAGCCACTTGAGGGCCGGAGAGAAGTTAGCACCACTATACTCTGGGCCAGGTGTGAGTTTGAATGCTGGCTGTATCACTTTCTAATTGCATGGTTTTAGGTAAATAAGATTCAACATGCAAGTGCGAGTTATTGTACACAGAGTGAGAGGGCCGCTTTCCTGTGGACATGATTGTTACACGTAGGCATGTAAACACCACCTTCCATACCTCTGTGGTATAGAGAAAAGTTCTGCTCCTTTTGAAATGAAGTCCCTGTAACAGTGTTTCCCCAGTTCCCTGCTGGTTTGTGTCCTTAAATTTAAATTCACAGTTCATTCTTTCCCTTGTTCTCAAAATCCGGATGAGATGTTCTCAAGGCTGTACTTCGGTGCTTGTGCACTAGTTTTAACTTTATTTCTTCAGCTTTATCCTGAACTTCTGTATGGGCCATTGACGGTTGGTTCGAGTCCCTGGCCCCGTCTTACTGCTGATACTGAGCTTCTCTGTCATCTTTTCTCGCAGCGTTAGTCAATTTGATTTCCATACACAGTAGAACCCCGGACCTCACGCTAATCTGTTCTAGAAGGAGCGTTGATATGGGATGCAGGCGAGTTCTGAATCAATTGTTCCCATAAGAATAACTGAAAATGGATTAATCCATTCTCGTCCACCAATTTTTTACCCTAACCTTCTCGTTTTATGACAACCACTACACAGAAATTTCAAAATAAATAAGTTCAGAGCTAAATAATATATTTTAAATAAGAAACTCAACATTAAAAATATCTATTTTTAACAACTACATTATGGCCCATACCTTGAGATTGATGAGGATCTGGATCTGCAGAAGGGGCTGTGGAGAGGAAGGATGGAGAGAGAGTCATTGTTTGGAAGGGGGATCCCCTCCCATAAAATCAACTGGTAGCTACTTTTCAGGAGTTTTTCCCCTTCTTTGCCTTTTTTCACTAGGAGTTGGCTGGCTTTCTCTAAAAAAAAAAAATCTGTCTAATGTGATCGGTTATTGGTGTTTCCTCAACTGTTTTCTTAAAAGGTTTACTAAATTATCATCTAGAGTATCGATAACACGGTTCACGATCATTCTTTTCATAAAAACGCTTTCTTA